TTAACAACCCTAAAGATTCAGTGAAACTTGTCTTATCCGGGTGTTGTGTAATCCACAATCTTGCCATATACGATGTAAACTTTCAAGTCCCTTTTAATAAATTCAATTGTTTAAAATATTTTCTAATCCGGAATATCAATTGAATTTGGCCATTTTTGGCATTCTTTTACCAACTGAAAACATGGATGTTGAAAAAATGTAAACTTTATTTTTTTAGTTCACTTAAACACAAATTATTGTATTATGAGATAACAAGAAAATCTAAGTTACACAGGTAATTTAATATTTTTAACATTCTAAGAGAAAGGTCACGAAAAATGATACGGTTTCTAAAAATGTGAAAAATTGGATATCTAGCATTTTCTTGGAGAAATTGAAGGCTTAATTAGGTATTGTCTACGGAAAATTTCCAAATCAATTTAACAATATACATGTCCTCGATTGTTTGCAGGAATGATAAAATCGGCAACTGTTCGTTATGTTAGCCACTTTCATTAGCACTTTTTGAAAAATTTGCTAGACAAATGATTGGGCACTAAAACCGCATGGATTTCTTTCTTTTATGACCTAAGGTTCCAATATGCATTCAGTTCTATCAGTTCTTAAATGTTACGATATGAAAAATGAATTCTAATGTGAAATGATATTGTTTTCGCTTTCCTCTGCAATGAAAGAAGTGATTTATGAAGTATTGAAACACTGATATATTACAGCATACACATACTATGTTTGTGCAAATGGTTCATTGTTTTTCTTTAAACTGAAGCTTAAAGGTCATTCTCCAATCATCGATGTGTTTCACTGCTCTCACACAATGATTTTTTTAGTTCTCCCATTATCGCTGTATCTTTCCTGTACAGTGACTCCCTTTTGTTTTGGTTCACTAAAACATAAGTAGATACCGATTATGAATTTATGATGTCACATTGCGCTACTCAATAATACATGTGTTAAGAGTTTCGTGCAGTAATAATGTACATGCGCATAAAGTTTTAAAGAATTTAGTAAAGGTAAGGGAGAAGAATGCTCTTTAGTTACCAATTTTTCTCCTTCCTTAACTTTTTGCTCGGCAAGCTTCGTGTCTATTGACAAATAAAATGATTAAAAAACTCAAGTTGGAGAAAAACCGGTAACTAACTCGCATATGTTATTGAACCTTTACGTTGTATTTCCAAGGTTGTGCAATTCAACGTCATTTTGACGTTTCTGAAATTTTCACCAATAGTAAAATATTTTTCTTGCACTTATTCAACAGACACACTACAAATATAGACACGGAAGTATATAAAAGGATAATGGATAAGACTGTACACAAATCAAAGTCTTACATTTCTCTTATGTTTTTGTTTCTTCTTCAAGGCTCTAGGTTGCGTTGTGGCACGTATTTTCAAAAATTGCGTGTTATATGTCTTCTGTTTGAGGGCTCTCTCATTAAGTGTTTTAACTTCGCAATTAATATGTAAATTCTATGAAATTCCATTACTGACATCAATACTTTTATTTATGTAGAAATAAATAAAAGTAAAGTGAAAGTAGATGTATAAAATTAGTAATCGATTGATGTATTTTGATGTATAATGATGTTTTATACATGTATGGAAAGAGGAGTAAAAGTTAAGTATCTTTTACAAAAAAAATATATTGATTTGTTTTATCACGTGGAGATTTGTTGAAATGAAAGTAACACTGTTGGGGAACAATGGTCTTAAGTTTAAAGGTAGTGTATTGATTTTCTATAAAACGCGTTACGTTACCGACACTGTCATTATACATTGTATACCATCATTAAAGTATATATATTAATCTCATCCAAACCATCGATATCATTTTGATTTAGACCTTTCAGGAAATTCCGTAGTAGATTAAAAGCAACCATAGCTTTTCAAGAAATCCCGTAGTCGATTAAAAGCAATTAATTCAAACAAATTAAACATCAGCATATCAGTTAATGTCAAATGTTCATTAAAAACAAAGACAACAGATTTTATTATTAGTACGAGAAACACAGGCATTGTAATTGCCGTTCCACTAAACTTTTCTTAAAAGTATATATATCCTTATGCCCAGTTTATAATAATTAAGTACACATATGAAACAAATTGAATTCTCTGGTGAATGAAATATTTAACTTGAAGTGTTACCTTAAAATTTATAAACGAGATTCAAACCAAGGAACCGTTCACGGTAGCTCAGTCGGTAGAGCGTTCGCTTCGTGATCGGAAGGTCGTGATCTCGAATCTCGGCCGCAACTGAACTAAGTCGATAAAAATGGGTAGCAACTGTTCTTTCGCCATGCGCTCGGCACTTTGAAGTGAAAGTTGCGGATCTTTCGGATGAGACCTTAAAAACCGAGGTCCCATGTCACGAAAGGTGTTGGCACGATAAAGATCCCTCACTGCTCAATAACCCTGAGTGCGGAGTAAAGGTCAAAATTTGAAGCCCTTCACTGTTGTATGGTGACGTCTGTATCTGAGTGAAAAATTCTCTAATGGGACGTTAAACAACATATAATCAATCAATCAATCAAATCAACGAAAAGGAAGTGGAGCTCCGATGATTGCAATGGCGGCTCTTTAATTTACGATATTTTTAGGGGAGGGGATTAATAAATGATTTAACTGTAAGGATTAATCAAGTTGTGGGTTTGTTAGCTATTTTCATTTTCGCAGTAAGCCTGTACTTGATTTTTAGTTTTCTTTAAAATAAAAAGCTATGCTTCATCTTTCAAAAGTAGACTTTTTCTAGATCAGGCTTGACCTAATAAAAACTCTGAAAACGAAACTTATAAAATTGATAAACAATGGTGACCTACTTTAGTTATTTGTCAATTACATTTATTTAACCTATGAAGAACATTTAAAAATACAAAAGTTTATATTTAAAAAATATTTAAATTAAAAGAAAAAATTAATTGGACAATTTGTGTACTCTGCAGATGTTATTTTTCCGGAATATCAAAATTTTATAAGACCTTAGCCTACACAAGACCTTATAAGACCTATTATAAGACCCCAGTCTCTCCACTATAATTAAAAAAACAGAATTTTATACACCGTTTAAAAATCATTGGCATTTCTTGAAACATAATTTAAAATGTACAAGTGTGCATTTATTTTTAGATCATTGAATTGTTATTCAAAACTATTTTTAAGTCTGCAGTCAGTCAAATAATGCTGTCACCTACGGACAGGAAGGAGGAACGATAAAATTGATATGCCCTTTATCAAAACCAGGCGTAAGTGGACGAACGGATTGGAGTGGACCACCTGCACTGCAAACCTACTTTATAAATGAAATGAAAAACCCCATTCTGTCCAGAGGAGAACGTTTGACTGTGGTGAAGAATACACAGACTGGGGGATACGACCTCCAGATAACAGGACTCACCAGAGAGGAGGACGTGGGGCAGTACTCGTGTGATGTAGACAAAAAACAATACATGATTAATCTGAAATTATACTGTAAATATCTATGTTTCAGAACGTTGTTTTTGTTTTGTTTTTTTAAGTTGAAAATTGAAGATGTCTTTCCTGTTTAAGTGTTCTTGTTTAAATAGTGAAATATTGAATATGTCATTTCACTTTTATAAGTACTCAAAAGTTTACAGTATCTTTATTATAATAGTGCCTTCCTCCAGTATAAACATCGATGCCTATAGTTTAGATGGCATCTTAAGAGTCAATGGTACAGAAGGCTCCTCTTTAACTCTGACTTGTCAGTCATCAGGTGGTGACCCTCAGGCCAATGTGTCTTGGTATAGATGTTCTGCATTGTTAACTTCTAGCATTGGTGAGACAATGTACAGCTTTATTCCTACCAGAGACGATGACCTCCAGAACTACACATGTACTTCATTCAATCCAGCTTTATCACAGCCAATGAGGAGGAATGTTCAAATATTCCTTGGTCGTAAGTGCATGACCTTGAATACCATTTAAAAAAAAAACTGCATTAGTCATAAACAATTAAGATCAAGCATTCTTTCAGTTTTGATAAAAGTAATACATGTTCTGTTGGATGCAATCAAAAGGCAGATATTTGAGAATAGACTAACTGCATGTACCTCCAGATAGTTAAGTTGAACTATTAATTGATTCTTTGTTCAAATATGCAGAATCCAGGTCCAGTCAAAAAGGTTTTTCAAACTGTGAAAAGAATTATATACTATATCTCATCAATCAAAACATTCATATTCAACAAGGACTCAGAGAGACATCTTTACTGCATTAGCTAAGGCAGATATAAATATGCAATTTTATACTATAAATCAATTGCTAATAATTTCTCAAACTTTAACTTGAAAAACAAAATATGGAATACATGAGTAGTTTTTAAGTCGGACTTGTTCTGCAATGCAACTATGTACAACAAACATTCAAGAAACATCTGAAAAACATTGCTTTTGTCGAAATTTAGTAACGGAATAGCTAAATAGCGTAAAAAAAGTTTCAAATAAATATCAAATCACGCTTATTCGACTTATAATTATTCTCAATCTTATTTCTTAAAGTTGGATTTCCTTCCGCAAACAAAGTCTTTTTTTCTGACTTTTTTTAAAGAAGAATAGCAATAACCAAAAAATGGAGTAAATCTCAAGAAACTCGAGTTTTGTTACTAGCTTAAAAAACTACAAGAGTATACCAGATATCTAAAATTAAATTTAACATCTCAAAGATTAAACAAAATCTTCTGGAAGTGAATAGAGACAGACACATTACTGACAACTACAATGTATATGACAATTTGACGTGTCATGTCACTTGAAATTAAATTGTACCTCTACATAACAGTGCTTATTTTTAAGGTACTACATGTATTTTATCAATACCTCAAGAAGATGTCCATTTAAAAAATAAAATCAGCAAGTGAGCAGGAAATTAACCACAAAATTTAGGTAATAGGAAATAAAAGAGTACATCTACTTGATACTTGACTATGGAATAGTTTTAAGGTGAAGTATAAATAATGCATCTCTACGTATTTTAATTATTTTATTTCAGTGAGACCGGGTCTCCCGGAGATTCCAAAGATTCCAAATACAAAGGAGGGCGATCAGATAAGAGTCACGTGTTCATCCTCGGGGGGTCGTCCACCTTCATCACTCTGGTGGATATTCCGGGGGACATACTTGAAATCAACGTGCGTATCCTCTACGATCAATCCCTCTACTCAAACTTACACTGTGAATGCAATATTAAACATTACAGTCAACAAAGAGAACAACGGAAAGAACATCATATGTATGGCAAATAACTCAGTTGTGCCTACTGGACTTCAGTCGTCGCGGATGGTAACGGTGCTCTGTAAGCTATGACACATGATTTTCATGTCAAAAACTAATTATAATTATCATTATAAAGTCTTTCAGAAAGTTGTAATTAACAGAAAATTTTGCTTTTGTTTCTGAACTTAATGTATTTAAGTTTTATTCTTCCGTTTATAACAGATCTTCCTAAAATTAAGGTTTTTAAACTTCATGGCGGTCCAACAGTCAACGAAACAGCTCCTCTTTCGGTGATTTGTGAGGTCGATAGCTCTAGTTTCACAAACATGTCGATCCGGAATCAGAACACCAGTGAGATACTAAGCATTGGTACTTTTACGAACACGCTGAACTTCACAGAAAAATCAGCTAGATGTTTTCATACAGCTGCTTACATATGTACAGCAGAAAACGTTATTGGGTTTGCTGCATCTGATCCGATACACATGTATGTTACTTGTATGTTAATTACTAGTTCTGATAAATGTACAGCTGCATTTGTTATGATATAAAATGTAAATTATATGAATTAAAATATTATCTGAAAAAAAAATATAATCTTTAGGAAAAGAATGAAAGAGCAAGAGCCACTTGGGGCCTTTTTTGGCCATGAGAATTTCTGAAAAATCGAAACTGCTCAGTTTTGGTTGAAAATGCAGTATTTATAACTTGGACCCTTGGTGACCGTGTATCTATTGAACATGACGTATTTTTCTCTCTAGTCAATGCATTATGACGTCATAAATGCGTCATTTTCCCCATTCCTCTAAGTTCCCTTAGAAATGGCCAAAAGTTGAGGTATTTTTTCAATATTTCGTATAGAGCACAACCTCTGATCCAAAATATGCAAATAAATAATGAGAAATCTGTTTCTGAAGATCACAAAACATGTTTTAATTTTTGGATCGTGGGCTGTGCTCATATTTTAATTCTTTGCTGAAGGTAGTCAAATATGCATGTTTTCTGCAAATTCAAGAACATTGCATTTTCCCAAAGCCTGTTTTCCAATACCTGGATTCTAAAAAAAAAATTGTTAGAGGAAATGAAGTCTCTACTTTATTTTAAGATATGAATATCAGAAAACACTATGATAAAACTGTTGAATACATGGAAGTCTTATCGTTTGTTCTTAATCAAGAAAGTTCATTTCAAGGTGGGCCAAGATCCTTGGACGGTTTATACTTTCTACGGATACCTGCTTCCTTTCATGATAAGCTAGAAATATCGGCGAATTTTCTGTCGTACCCTACACCATCCTTTCAGTGGGGCTTCAGACAAACAAGTACATCACCAGAGGTTACGCTGTCCAGTGATTTTATAAGAACAAGCACCAGTATCAACATTTCTTTATTTTCTGTGCATTTGAAGAAGACAGTGCTGGAAGAAGATCAGTTTGGTTATTATACTGTGAGAGTAGCCAATGATTATGGATCTTTTATGACAACTTTCCACGTTATTCCTCAAGGTAAATTTACCTTACAATAAAATCAATACCCGAATCGCTTTAATGTTTTTATGACAATGTTTGATATGTCCTCCATTGGTACAATTATATTTTTTCTTATCATATAAATTAATGAAAAGCAAATTGATATGTTAAGGAATATTTGAAGCTAAACTAAATTAAAAATAAGAAGTAAACATGTCCATTTAGTTTTATAATTTGCTCACCAAAGATTCATGATAATTCTCTCTGTGAAACTTTTTCACTGAATCTTCTCAATTTTTCATATCAATGGTTTACATAAAAATATGATAATCTACTAATGCATGTTTCTTCTATGTGATATAATAAGGATATAGACACATAAGTGTACAAAAAGCAACTTTGCATGTTAATGCTTATGCTTCGAAAAAATCAATGGGATTGATATAGATCCGCACATTTTTTGCTTGTATACTAACTATTAAGAAAAAATAATGACAATAATACATATCAAATATCATTTCATTTATAAAATTTTATGTCTAGGTTATTTTTCCGCATTTCATTTTCAAAAGTTATAATCTACGGAAAATAATTTTACGATTGAATATGTTACAGGCTGTTTTGTTTGAAAAGTAGACATTTAAAGTATCGATTTTTTTCAACCAATAATGTAAATTCCCTATTGATAACTACGCATACGAATAATTTGAATCCCCTGTTGATAAGTACGCCTTTGTTGACAGTGCTGATTGGGAATTTATTCTGCGTCATCTATAAGATTGTCACCTCCTTAAATTTTTCTTAAAACACATTGCAAACAATCCATTTAAGTCACATGTCTTATATAAAGAGAAGCTATATACAGTGTTTTCCCGTTTTACCGCCAACATTTGTACCTCGGTAAATTTGGCATTTTAATACGGAGGACTGTAATAAAGCAGTTTAAAGCTGAAGAAATTGGCACTTATTGTTTTGCTACTAAATCTTTATTGTAATTTTGGTAGTTTAATTTATAAAAACATTTATCTTTTGTTGATTGTTTTTATGTTGTTATTTTTGTTATTTTATTGTTTAATAATAACAAAACGTCTGTGTTAATTTCTGCAAAGTCCCTAGATTCCGAATAGTGCATCACATTCGATTCACAATTTTAAACCCAACTTAAAGTCCATGTCGGGCCTAATAAAACTCACCTCCTAATTCAACACTTGTTAAAATGGAACAAAATATAGCTATATACACATAGTATTCGGTTTTATTCACACCTAAGAAGCGCAGAATATATGAGATATTGAATTTATATACTGTCGATGTAAAGGAATTTAAGCTATATAAAAGGATAATGTATAATTAAGGCTAAAAATGATATCGTAAAAATAATAGTTTATAATTAAGTAATAAGAAAACAAAGCTTTGAAATAAAAGTGGATTTTATTCGTTAGTAAATAATACACATTTCAATATCTTACAGGGAATTCCAATTCACAGCAGAATGTATGCACATCTTCTTCAACAGGTTGTATTGTTTTTAAGTTCAAAATAATCATTGCTAAACCCATCATCCATTAAACTTGTGTTAATTATCAACAACAGAGAATTAAATAATGTACATGTACATGTATATAAAAATGCACATGAACAAATTATGCTAAATTAATGGATTCCAGAGTTATCCACCCTTATTCCTGTATTGGCCTCGGTCTCCACTGTTATGTTCATCGTCTGTTCCGGACTGGTAATTTTTATCATCCTTCGGCGGCGATTTGATAAAAAAGGCACGCATTCATGTAATATGCTCAGATTCTGAAATCCTGTTTTTTTTTTACTTGTAACTAATCCATTTCTTTTTTTTTTTTTTTTTTGAATTTAGATATTTGCTGTTTCCGAAGATCTGAGTAAGTATAAATTTATAATTCTTAATTTGATTTGTTTTTCATTTTTCCTATGATCTCAATTTTCACAACAATTTATGTTACTAGAAATGAAAATTACGTCATGCAGAACGTCACAAAGATGGATGATCATCAATATCAGGACATTGGTGCAGATCAAAAAAGTAAATTGATTGTTATGAAATATTGCATATAAAGGTTGAATTATAAGAACGGCTATAACCATGAAAAAACTAAATATTCAAACCATATATTTATAGGTATTAACGAGAAATTCGAATGTTTTAAAAACAGATAATTAAGCAAGAAAAATATGTACATGAACCTGAAGCTAAGAAATTATCAGTATCCAGAAATTAGTTTTGCAAATTTTGCTGATTTTATTAATTTTGAAATCCCCCCCCCCAAAAAAAAAAAATCTGATAAAATGTTGCTTTTATTTCCAGAGCACTGATGATATATAGATATATTATTTACGTTGAAGAAACTATGATCGAATCCAGATACCTTGGGAACATTATGTGATCATTTAGTGCTTTTTCCCTTCCTTGTTTGCTTACTTATCACTTATTTTAATACTTTGGTTACTTATTAATTATCAAATACGAGTTCAGGTATTGTAAAGTTTGAAACATGTTGTCATCTATAGCAAATCAGCATAAAATGCAAATATCATAAATAAAGGACCATTCTACTTTTATTTCAGAAATCAGATCCAGTGGAAAGCGTATCAAAAGGTAAACTGCATGACAAATACTCAGCAAGATACTTTTTTTCTGAAAATACAGATTTTTTTAATCATGTTTATTGATGGCATGTTACTTGCAGTCTCACGGAAAACGTGGAAAACATCGAGTACAGAAATGTGTATGACGTAGTTGTGGAAAACAAAGAAGGTAAAACAAATATATAAATTTGTGAAGTTTTGAAAAAAAGTGAAACAGAACATTCTTTTAATGAGCCTTATGCATGCAACTTAACTTCTTGTAATGCAACGAGGAATATAGGGAATGGCAGGGAATGTATCTGTATATTTCATCATAAATTCGACAAGAACAGGTTAATTCTGTTTAACTCATACGTCAGCTTGTAAATTCCATTTAATTCCTTTTTAATTCCATTTCATTGTAAGTTTTAAAATTGAAATCTTTTAATTACAGTATTTTTTCAATTCAATTTTAAAAGTTTTAAAAGATTTTCAATTTTAGAAGATTTCAATTCTAAAACTTACAATGAATGCCAACACAGGGGAAAAAGGAATACAGTGGCGCCGCTTTTATCCGGACGCCATTTATCCGGACGCTTCACCATCCGGACGATATTTTTTGGGAACCGATTTTTTCCACGTTATTTTGTCTCATTAATCCGGAAATTCGCGTTCCGTATCCGGACGGTCAATTTCTACTACAAAAACGTAATAGTTCATTGAAAAATGACTCGTTTATCCGGACGGTAATTTTTCAAGAAACGACTTCTTCACACTTCGCTTGCATTCGTGTTAATTGTTGTAAAAACATTGGCCATGCAGTCAGTTTGAAGACGGTTACCTGTGACCTACAAACAATTATAGCGTCTATTATTAGCGTGTGTTTACCCTAATTCAATCACACGTTTATCTTTAATATTTAGCTTACACTTGTGCATTAATTAAATAATAATCTATTCAAAATCATATTGCTAGCCGTATGTACATCGGTAAATTCATGAGAATTTTGGAGAGTTGTAAATAA